CGCGGCGCCGCCCTAGGCTACCCCGCGGAGTTTCTCGCAAGTCACCCCGAGCGGGCAGAAGGACCGCCGCGCCCCTCGACATCGCGGCACAAGGTCAATTAGGGTCCGCGAACGTCTCACGCGTCGGCGGGTAGAACGACGCGTCGGTACACGGGCAGTATTCGTTCTATTGCACCCTACTCGCCTCCGTCTATTCCCGACACCTACGTCACACCCCCCCCACCGCTGCGGCCTAGCCCCGACACCTACGTCGCGCCCCCGACGCCCGTCACACACTTCACCGTACCTCCGTCACAGCGTCCGGGTCGACTTCCCCGACGAGCTGCAGCTCCTCCTTCAACTCCTCGCGGACCGTCCGAAGTTCGTGCAGGTGGGCCTCCAAGCGGGTCACAGCCGAGGCCAGTCCGAGCGGCGCGTCCGAACGAGAGGCCACACCCCGAACGATGCGCGCCTGCATGGAGGCCGCTTCTACGCGGTGGAGGGCCCCGAGGTAGTACAGGCGCGTCGCGCGTCTCTTGGCGAGCAAGAATCGCTCCTGGAAGTACAGCCACAAGCCGTCGGGGTCATGCGTGAGGCAGAGCAGCATCTCAACTCGCTCAAGGAGGGGGACCATCTCCCTTCCGTGCAGAGTGACCGCGAAGTAGTCACCCTTTCCCGAAAGGTCAGCTCGCGTCCCCCGAAGTGCTGAGCGAGTAGGGAGGGGCGTACCATCAGCTTCAGGGTGTCGTCTAACGCGGCGCGCCAGTCATCGGGGCCGTGGGACCCGCTCTCCCTCATCTCCTCCAAGCCAATCACGGCGCGGTCGACTTCCCGGGCGAGCGCAGGAGCGTACGCGACACAGGCATCGCGGACGACTTGTTCCAGAGAGGCAATACTGGCCATCGGAGTAGAAGCTGGTGGGCGACGGATAGGGCCACCCCGATGTCGTCCCCGACTTTATACCTCGCGCAATCGCACCATCGCCATCGATGCCGACTGAGGACAGTCGGGATTTCAGTTAGGGGGAGATGATGCGCACTCACCGCGCCTGCCGCCCGCC